CTGTCTAATTTTGCTTGCTTCGCTGTCAGTCGAACAAACGAAGACTAAAGCGTGAATGACGCTCTGTATACGATTTTAACGCCCTATAAGTTCGGGCACTTTTGAGCGCGGACCCGACGTCCATATAATTGTAAGTCAATGGTAAATTACTTTACCATATTTCTAATATTTGAAATGCGTGGAAAATTTTAGGCAAGCCGGTGGGAATCAAGTTATATGGACGCTTCGCCACTGGGACTATGCTAATTACATAGTCCTCGTTACAATGTTACGTACAAAACAAAAACGAAAATTAAAATAACTGTAGACATTTAGGCACTAAGTGAATATAATTTGACATAAGCAACAAATGGATGAAGAGGTAATCAATTTAAATAATAAATAAGAAATTTAAAAAGCATAATACCAAATACACACATCACATAATTGTAGATAATTAGGCACTAAGTAAATGACATTAGACACAAGGAACAATCAAACAAAGAAAAATAAATCGATTTGAGTAATAAATAAATAATTTAAATAGCGTAATATCAAATATACACAAATACACACTACTATGGTATGGCCTCGTTAGGAATTAAATCGGAGAAACCCCAAGCATAAACATAGTAACAAGTTTTTGCAAAAAAAAAATTGATTGGAAATAATTTGGTGTGTATCTTTTTAAGCCAAGATTGTCGAAGAAAATACTTATGAGTAAATATTGTGCAATTATATCCAGTGATTATACAAAAGATAAGATGGCGATACAGCGTGTTACCCTATACGAAAGACAGTTCGTTGTTTGTTATATCTGGTGACACGGATGGGTGTGGGGGTGCCTATCTGAAGCCGAGCAAATATTCCGTACGTTAACACTGTGAGATCCTGGTAATATAATGTAAGAAACAAACATGTACAAATTGGTATATGCGCTTTTGTATGGAAACGATGTACCTTTATTTTGCCACATCACAGAACAGAAATTTATCGTGAGACTGAAACATGGTAATTAATCGTACCGGTAACTTACGGAAGAAAAATAATCCCAGTATACATTACTAAAAAAACCAACCACAATTACACAAATTGTGTGGAATAAATGCGCCCTGAGACATTAGTTGACAAGTCCTATATGCCTGTAATTTCACTAGCACCCTTACTTATCAAAACCGAAGCTAACGTGGCAGTACTTCCTTAGACGCTCGTCTTTCGCAGGGAGTTGTAGAACCACTATATGTAGGTACGACGCGAACATACTCTCCCCATGTACGTAACTCTATCTACTAATGTAGTTATTTAGATAATAGTTCTCCCAGAAGGAATGGGGGTTGGATGGGTTCAGTACCAGAAAAATTGGACAACAAACTCTACATCAGGCAGAACAGCGGCTGCCCGGCCAAAGCGTCAGAGATGAGTACATGACTCTCAAACAAGTTGTCAAGGACTTTGATCAGGTTCTATCGGGATCAAAAAATTTCCAATAAAGTGCTTGATCTAGCGTCTAGCGTCTGTTGAAAGATATATGAGATACGCCAAGAACCGCGCGCCCGCACCCGCCGCCGCGCCGCACCCGGGCCAGCACTCTGAATGGACCTTTATGGACAGGCGTGACGGTTACCACCAGGCGCACGACTTATTCGTCCCAACACTTAGTATTATAAAAAACATAACAGTATTTTCTTTATGTTAAATAATTGACGCGCCACCGACTCGCCATTGAAGATTATATATATATGTATATATATGTGATTAATATATGATTTTCATGTCAATGCTTGTCCACAGTGATATGCAAAGTTTATGGCAGCTTGGAAGAGCTGAAGAAGAACTTCCTTCCCTGTACGTAAACCAGGAGTTACTTCCACAGGTCGTACCTTCTGCACAGTCGTTCAACGACTGTGATGAGGAATGCCATGAAGATAGGTAAGTAGATCGCCTTGTGAAAGAAATCGTCCAGGCTTACCTATTTCTGCCGCCAAGCAGGTTTTGAAGGGTGCTGGTGAAATTACAGGCACATTGGACTTGTCAATTTGTGTCTCATGGTTACTGGCGCAGTGGCAGTGCCCCTCAGTTCTTTGCGACTTAAAGCTCCGGGTGGCATTGTAATTTCTTCCAATATATAGATAGGTATAGATAACAAGTGTCGAGACAAACAAGTCGTGCACCTGGTGGCAAGCGACACGCCTGTCCAGTGCAGTTGCAGTGATACACAGAGCTTTAAATTGCAAAGATCTGAGGGCACTGCGCCTGTCATCCTGAGACATAAGTGGCAAGTCCCATGTGCCTGTAATTTCACCAGCACCCTTCAAAACCTGCTTGGCGGCTTTAACTGCCTCTGTGGCCGAACGGTTACCATGCCAGACTGCCACGCAGAGGTCCCAGGTTCGATTCCCGGGTCGGGAGAATTATTTGTATGGCCTACATTTATTTCTCTCGTGAGTTTGGGTGTAGTTTGTGATTGTCTATGTGTGTGTCCATGGCACCCGCGACACAGGGTTTCCCTAGTGCGGGGCTATGTTGAGTGTGAACGTTATTATTATTATTATTAATTAGTAATGCTTTGGCGGCAGAAATAGGTGAGGTGGCAGTGCTTCCCTGGACGATCTCTTTCATAAGCTCTACTGTTACTTTTGTATCGGGAATTTTTCAATTTTAATTTTATTATTAATTTCGAACATTATAATCTATTTTTCAGCAAGCCAATAGAATTCGAGCTGTTTGCGGAGAAGATAGGGCCTAATACTCCTAGTCCGAAGATGGACGCCGATTACGACGTATATTGTTCGACACCTGACTCAGATACGGACTCCGATTTCGAAGGTACGTTGGACCGACCCGTTTTTTTTATAACGTTTTTGGGAAGAAAGACAGAAATAAAGATGTTACTTAAGTACAATATTATGATTTTAACATTGACCTACTAACAAATGGACGTCGGGTTCGCGCTAAAAAGTGTCCGCACCTATAGGGCGTTAAAATCGCATACAGAGCGTCAATCGCGCAACAGTCTTCGTTTGTTCGACTGACAGCGCGGTTGTCAATCATGCAGTACTATATGATAATAACTTGTAAAAATTACTGCAGTAAAGTGTAAAAACAGGATTTTGTATCATACTTTCACTAAACAAATATATTGTGTTATCATAGTAGTCATTTAAAAGTGTTATTTGGTACAGTTTTAAAGTATTTAATTTATATATAAATTAATCGTAAATATAAATTACAAAACCAAGCAAAATAATCAACCTAACTGTCCTTTTTCTACACATTACATGCGCAAAAGATGGAAAGAGACCCATTACGTCAATTTCAAGAAGCCTAAATAAACTTCTTGGTCATTTTCAATTGTTCGAACTATAAGCGATTGAAATTTTTGGAACAAAGAAACTATAGAGTCGTGTTGATTTTAATCTTATTTTTATAGTACAAGCTTATTTTCACATTTGTAGTAATATTTGTATATATGTGTCAGCCCAACTCTATTATATCTTTAAGTGAATTTGTACAAAATTCGACATAATAATATATATAAAAATTAATTCATACTTACGAAAAAGGCCACTCCATTACTCTTATGTTCAAGTACTTTTCAGTCGAAGTTAAATATGGTGCATTTTGTTAAGTTTCCAGTAGAAGCTGAATATGGTGTTTTTGGGCCCTTAAATTGTTGCAAGCAAAATTAGGCAGTACTGCATTGACGTTACAACTTAAATTAAATGTTTTAGTTTTTTATATTTCGTTAGATATCACTACGTTTGTATAGGTTAACTTCGGACATTTTTTTAGTGGTTTTTGTATTTGACCCGATGTCCATTTGATGGTAGGTCAATGGATTTTAAGTTTAAAGTGTATAGCATTGTATGGTCCAACTCAGCAAATACTGCGCTGTTTCGAAGTGACCAATTTAAAAATGTAATAAGAAATAAAATTAAAAAGAAAATAAAAAGTTGTGGACGTGCATTAAAATAAGTACAACATATAAATAAATAACTCAATTAGTTTAGAAGAATAAAATTGCCATATCGACAGTGAACAGGCAATCGGTACTATTTAAATTTTGAGAACGTTACAGGTGAAGAAAAAAATTGCTTGTGTTATTTATACAGCATCTGGTTTTGGTTTAAAATAAAAATACACAGCTTTTTTAAGTATTTTTATTACACATGTATGTATGTACACTACGTACTTTTATTTAATGTACCAGTTGCTATATAAATGATTTTTTCTTCACCTGTAAAGTTGTCAAAATTGAGATGGTGTATAGATTCAAAATTGAGATAGAATTGAGATAGGTTGCCAGTTCACAGTGGTATGCCTACAGCGTTTTCAATTGAAGCTGACAATGGTTTTAAAATAAGTACGGGGCACCACCGAAATATGTCATTTTTCCTTCGAACCAGCGACATTTTTGCCATACCGGGACCTATTATCACTCTCTCAACTTAACTGCCTCCGTGGCTGATCGGTTACCATTGTAATGGCTATGTATCCCTAGTGCGGGGCTGTCAATGTGTGCGTTATTCATTTATTTGTCCCCTTCTCTATTGGCTCAGATTCTTTTTTTTATCCCGCCAATCCAAATTCAGAATTTTTATTTTAGACCATGTCTATAATGTGTTATACTTGTTTCAATCCATTTTGAGCAAAATGTAAACAAACAAGTCACTGACCCGACTATAGACGGTTTAGTGACGGCCAATTGTAATGCCAACTAGAAATCGATTAATTAATTGAATTAATCGATTTGATCAATTGAGTCATAGTAGCGGTTTTCCTTACATATTCTACATAAGCATATTTAAATTTTCCGAAATCTTAATTTTAATTCCTCCTTCAAATCGGTACACTTAGATACTCGTTCGATTGCGATTGAAATATTCGACTTACTAATCGATTACTATAACTTTAATTGAATGAACCGAATGTTTTTTTTCGTACAGCACTATGCAACCATAGTCATAGAGGTATAGATGAAAAATAACCTCACTTTGGGACTACCATTTTTCAAATACGATTTAACAATACTATTCAAATGAAAATTGTTGAAAAAGGTGACGATATATCAAGTCGAAATCTTCAAAATATACGTGAAAGTGTTACTCGTTGGATTTATTGCGTGATTGCTTTACAAATTTAACCAAACAGCTTTGTTTATACTTTTTGCTCAAAATGGATTGGCACAGACTCTAGTTACAAAAACTTGTATGCTATGTTAGTATGGAAAATGATTATTAAATACATGAAATAAAAAACTACATCAAATTATAAACTAAGCCCCTGGAACTCATTTGCACTGAGTACCACGGTCCGTTCTACGCCAGGGTGGACATCCCCTATTCGCCCTATATCTAACCCACACGGAGGCACTAAGGCGGACACCATTCTACGAGGCTCTAGCCTTGATAGAATCTCTAAATTAATGATAGTGACGTGTTCAGTAACTCTGAATCGACATTTCACATGCAAAAAGAGACAACACATTTTTTTTATTTAAACTTTCACGATTTGCACACATTATTTGATTTTTAATTAGGGACTTAATCACGAATAAAACATATTTTAATTACTTCGACGTTTCGGACATACTGCAACGTCCATGGTCTCGAAGGGATTGAAGAGGCAGGTATCACCCGCGTCTGATCCCACGGCGCCGACTCAACCGGCGAGAGGGAAACCCGGGGGGGTTTTAGTGGGGTAGGCCCTCCAGTCTGGAGGGAGAGTCCCCACATAACCCCTGAGTCTCCCTGGGCTCAGGGGTATCCATAAAGATTTCCCCCCCGTAAAAAAAAAAAAAAAAAGGTATCACCCGCGTGACACCCGCCTCTTCAGTCACTTCAAGACCACGTGATTAAGCTAATTCTATAGAAAAACATTTTTCCCCCTTGAACCTCCTTTATTTTTTTTTACCTTTTATTTTGGCACACTCACAAGATACAAATTATTCAATACAAGTAAAACTTATGACATTTTAACAAAAACAAATTAATTTGTTGTTCAGTAACAACCGCGTACAGCATGCAAATAACACTATGCCAATTAAGCCACGGAACGAAGAAGCGGACCTCACGAAATTTTCAATGTGCTTGTTGTCGGATCTTTGTATTGGTATAGCGTCTGACACGGTTTGCTAGGTAGGACACGTCAGTTCCAATCCGGCCGGATCGACGGAATTTTTTCCAAGTGTTCGATCTTTGTATTTAATAATTATAAACAAACTAGTTGAGTCATTTCACAAATAAATAAACGATTATTATGGTGGTGGAACATTCTGACATTCAATAAAAATTTTAATGCAAATAACATTTTGCAATGTAATGAATACAGGTTTCATTTTCACGCTTATTTTATAATTACCTTCCAGGGGATGATACATCAGGATCGCTACAGACAGAACTGATGCCGGTACTGGGAGGTTTTTTAATCAACAATTCAGTCTACATATCCGAGGATCATTGGCACACCCTCATCCCCATCGACACTTTGGTGCAATGCGCGTTATGCGATTCGTTTATCGACCAAGAAGAACGTGATTCCCACTCGGTCAGCACTAAACATAAGGAAAATTTGAAAATATTTCCTCCGCTTAAGAAATTTGATGAAGCCATAATTAGAAAGGTAAAATATTTTTTAGCTATTGCCTCGTGTATTGTTGCTTGTAGTTTGGAGGCTACTACTAGGCTTGATTATCAGTAATCGGAATTCAGGGTGTTAATTTATTTAAATTTTACTAAAGAATAACGTGGATATTCGGGTGGGTTAACTTAATTCACCTTAACTAATTCACCTAGGTGCATTAAGTACACTTTTAGTAAACTTAAATCACCTGGGTGCATTAGAAAAACATAAAAGTAAACTGCATTCACTCCATTATTTAATATGGATCCTTTTTGTCAGTGGGACTCATTTGCTCTGACCACTTGAGACACTTCCAATTGTTTTTGAATAAATAACGTTGATAAAGCTCTATTCTATTTTTGACAACTATCTCCACCAATGAGCACCATTTTTGTAATTTTTTTTCTAAAACATTGTCGTCTGTTATGTAATAGCACAACACATCTCCCTCTATGTATAAATTTAAAGTGAGCCATACTTAAAATGTGGACAGGTTTTACAACTACAACGCTTCGCTACTTGTGTCGTAGTTGAAATAGATAGTTGTCAAAAATAGAATGTAGTTTTCTAAACGTTATTTATTCAAAAACATTTGAATGTGTCTCAAGTGGCCAGAGCAAATGAGTAAAGCCAGAGTCCCACTGACAAAAAGGTTCCATATTAAATAAAGGAGTTAATGCAGTTTACTTTTATGTTTATATAATGCACCCAGGTGATTTAAGTTTACGAAAAGTGTACTTAATGCACCTGGGTGAATTAGTTCAGATGAATTAGTTAACGCACCCGGACACTCCCTTCTAAAAATCCCGGGACTTCTCGGCACTCCATTTGAAAATGCGTATTATTTATTGAAATTTGTGTACATCGACAAATTATTATTTCCTATTAAGTATTTGCTACAAATTATTGTCTCAAAAAATAATAATGTTAATAAAAATGGAAGCAAATTAATTTGCTACTCCGCGACCCAGTAAAGGTTAAAATTCGCAAAATAGCTGCGCTTGTGCTGAATAATTTTTCATGCAGTTAATTATAAACATAAATTAAATAACACAAGCGCAACTTTATTTGTTTTTTTAACTACTTACGTATTTAAATACTTTAGCCATTTAAAAAATAAATATGTGACAACCTATATATTGGACTGTTTAGTAAATATAGTTATCTGTTATGCAAGGCTGCAAGTGGTAGATGAAAGAAAAACAGTTGAACTATAACAAATCACTTTTAATAAATAAATATAAGAAATACGTTAATTGTTTTCACTGAAGAGGCTGATAAGCTTAGAGAATTGACAACATACATACGAGTACTACAATATCAATTACATACAAATATAGGTGACAGTACATTAGTAGGAGCACAAGAACATATTTATCCATTTGATCCTACCAGTAGGAGCACCCAGTAGGAACAAGAGGAAACGGCCGAAATTGTATTTACTCTTCAATCTGGTCAATTACCAGATTGAAGCGAATAAGCCTGCTTTTCTTCTTATTAGGCATGTTTAGCACATATTATTATTGCATATTGTATAATGTAAATAAATATCCCATATAATTGTAAAACATGTATTTGTTACAGATAAACAACAAATATCATTGTGGAGTCTGTAACGAACTATTCGACGTAACAGATCTCTCACACTTCGATAGCAAAACGCACGGAGACAATAAATTGTTTGCCATAAACAAAGCCACTGATCTTGTCTTCGATGAAACCCCATTTAATGATATACAAAATAATGAAAAACATATTAATGATTATTATCATTTCCGCACAAATAATATTATTAATGATACCACCACAAGTTCTAACTCCGATTTCAATGATTACAACATTTTCACTTATAATAATTTCATAAGTTTTCGTTGTAATGAAAATGAAGTTAATGATAATAATAGTTTTGATTATAATGAAGAAGAAACTTTAAATCCTTCAGTATCGTATGCAAATATTGCTAAGAAACCAAAAGTACGTAGAAATAAGTATGTAACTGTAAATTTGGGTACAAAACAATTGCAAGTACGACACGACGTTTATCATATGGTACATGAGACTAAATCAAACACTTATTCCTGCATAGTATGTAATACTAAAGGACTGATAAGACACAAATTTGATCATTGCGATGACGAAGAACATTTGAGAAAATTGGAAAAGTGTACGGTTGTTGAGGCGTACGACCAACATTATGTTAGACACGTAAGTTTTTCAAACCATTATCACTAATTACAGGTTTTTTTACCACGATATCATTTCTTTTTATGTTTTTGTGTTTTGTCGGAAAAACTTAATCTTTCGGTATAACTTAATCTTGTTCAGTGTGATTCGTTGGAAAGCTAAAGGTGGTTTTCCACCGAGGCGAGACGAAGATTGAAATTTGTAATGCAAAATTTCAATTCTCTCCTAACGTATCTTCAATGGTAATGGTCTGGATTGACGAGGTTGAGCGAGGCGAGTAGCGCGAGCTTTATTAATGACAATTTTTTGAGAAAATAGAACGGCGAGATTTCTATTTCCGTCTCGCGTCGTCTCGTCTCTCGCCTCGCCGGTGAAAAATCACCTTAATGCTTGTCGTTAATAATGATTACATTTTCTTTTCAGTTTAGCGATCATTGCTATCACTGTGGCCACTGCAATAACCTTCAAATAATAAGTGACATGGACGACCATCTCGAATCATGCAACCCGATAAAGAATAAAAATGTCACAGACAATACTAAAACCAATACAGCTGCCAAAAATAATGACAATAATCAGCCGACATTGTTGAAGGAAACCAAATGTACTAATACAGCAACTACAGTTACTAAACACGACAAAAATATAAATACAATTAATGAAAATCGCACACCCACACCGACTCCAGTTAATTTCGCGAATGGTGTAGCAAATAAGAATAATGAAAATATTGTTAATGAAAATAATGTTAATGATAAATTGAACAATCAAAATAATTGTATTGCAAGTACAAGACCGTTAATTTACGGTAACGTAGCTTTATATTTATTTGGACACAACTTCACACTTCCTATTATGTCTTATAATGTGTTGTCAGAGAGAAGTGACGATTTTTACTGTGGAATATGCGATTTTATATGTCCAAAGGACGGTATTGTTAGTCATACACATCAAATAAAACATGTGGAGCTAATCCAAATGACACCATTCCTTTTGGAATTTCATTTCAACTTAATTCGCGATGTAAGTATCTTTCAAATCTATATTTTTATTGTTTGCCACCGTGACAATCATGAATTTAACCTCTCTTATTCTGCCCTGTGTAAGAAAAAAAGGCACAACTAAAATTGATATCTAAATTGAGTTATATACGTATTTTGCGATCAGGAAAAAAGATCAACCTACATAATTTTTTGTAGAATTCTTTCGCAATAATTGTTGGATATACAGTAAGCTCAAAAGGCATACATGACATCAATAAGCAGATTTTCTGCCTTAAAAAAAACCAAATTTGACCTTTATAACGTTAATTATTGTTCAATTACTATAATTACTTCATAAATAACACATAATAAAAACGTAACTGTAATTGTGCCCTTTTGTTCTGTTCTAAGTCAAGTACCTGTTAGGTCATTTAAATCTCTTATCAGCGCGAATATTGCGTGAACTTAAAATTGTAACATTTCATTATTTCAGATCAGAGGCAAATGCCACTGTGCCATATGCAATATTCCAATATCACCTGACCAAATATATGGCCATATTAAAATTCCACAACATATCGATTTGCTCAACAGAGTTTTGGGATACATACCCGCTTTATTCCCAGTCCGTCCTACATCTAATGAGGCTCACTTGCCTCAGAATAGACCATTTATGCCTAATCCTGCTTTTGGGGCCAATAACCTTGGTATTATTTCTCTTCTTGGGATAAATGGGCTTAGACCAAATTTCGGAGCTCCTATACCGCCTATTGCGACAAATGCACCTTTACCATGGGTTGGAACTAATATGCCACCTACGGGAATAGTAAATCATCAAGTCCCAATGGTTTCGAATCTAATGCAATACCAATTTCCCCCATCCCTACCGGCTCATTTTAATATTGTGAAACAGAATAATGAAAATGCAACTACCGAACCCATCAAGTATATAAACGAGAATAAGATTAATGATACTCAAATTAATGAAAACGAGATTAATGATACGGAAATTAATGAGAAAAGTTCTAATGCAGAGGATGATGATGAAGAAGAATACGAATCGGATAATAATTTAAATGAGTTTAATAAAACTTTGGATTCTGTGTCTTCGGAAGACGCTGTTTTTGATATAGAAGAATATGTTTATTTGAAATTAAATAATACGTACATGAAAGTGGCAAATACGGCGTACAATACTCTTGTACATGTTGGAGATGGTACTCGGTATTGTTTTGTATGCGCAGTTCATATAGAACACTATGAATTGCAAAAACATGTTGATAGTAGACCACATATGGAAAATATGGAAAAATGTCGGTTTCTCGAGGAGTATAAAAGCCACTTTTTGAGACAGGTAAGAATTTTTGTAAACAACTTTAAATAACAGTTATTAATACGAATACCAAGAAAAAATCCTTCGACCCGACCGACTGGATTCGAACCAGCGCCTTCAGCATACCGTGCCTGATGCTCTCCCAATTGAGCTTCGAAACGAACCAGCAGATCTTACGAATTTTTATATGTATTTGTTGTAGAACCAAAAAACAAAGGTCTGCAACAATCATATGGAAAAATCCGTGAGGTGTAACGTCTGATACGGTATGCTGAAGGCGCTGGTTCGAATCCAGCCACATCTAAGGAATTTTTCCAAGTGTTCCATCTTTGTACTAATAATTATAACAAACTAGTGGACATTTTTCACAAAAAGTAATTAAATATCATGTTATTCAATAGATTTAATATTACAACGTTAAATAAGGCACTAAAAAGGCAATAAAAACGACCTGTATGACCTCTATTACATAGTACTATTTTTTTAATATCCATCGAGTATATAATCAGAAATAGAGACGAATAAGGGTCAACCATCCCTGGCAACTCATCAGGCAAAATGGCCTTATATAACTTTTAAACATCTACTCCCGTTTGCGCTGAAATCACAAGTTAGAAAGCTGAACAGCGTAGTACAGCGCCAACAAAATGACCTGTTTGTACGTCTCCGTATATTCCAAAAATATTCTGTATTTATTGTAATACATATAATATCTATAACAATGGGGGCTGTTCCCTTTGGTGGTGTAGGAAAAACAGCAAAACATCTAATTACAAAACAAACGGAATCACATTTCATCGGTAATTAAATATTAAATATGTAATTTTGCAATTTTCGTCTGTTATAGCAAAGTTCAAGTTAAACTGGTCGATTTGAAGTGAAACAATTGACGACACCCGTCAATTGTTTTGAATTCGAGCTGGCCAATCGGAACGCAGTTGTCATTAATGAATTTGGCAGAATAATTTTCAAACAAATTAAATGACATTTCGCGTCTATTTCTGGTTATATACTCGATGTTAATATCTCTCGGGAATCTTCGGCAACCGCAAGACCAGACGCATTCAATCAACTTGGAATTACCGAGTAGCTATTTCTCTTTATTTTTTAATTTTTTTAATTTCCAATTATCCTATCTGCCATTCTGTTAAAATCTGGTTGCAATGGCAGTTAAGTCTCAGTGGAATGTCAGTGTTGGCATATTCGTACAATTACTAACGATAGATGTTGCCTTATTAAAGCTACCATGGAAATTATTATGCATATCTTAATTTTTATCTAGTTTAATGAGGCTAAAGAGTCGCCATGACTACTACATAACATTAAAGTAGTATACCCTCTGGACGGGGAAACTAAGCAGGCCCAAATAAGTGGCCTTGGCAAACTTGGAAGTCTCTAAATAGGCTGCGGATCCAAGTCGGCCGAAGCAAGGAGTGCGTGCACGGGTCGGGTTACAGCTCGGAGAGCGCATGTCCGTGTGGTGTCTCCCCAGACAATGGCACATCGTTTGTCCTGCCCTGCGTGTCCCTACACTTGCACACGCGAGGACCTTTTCAACGCCACTGATAATGCTATCTTAGTCGCTAAGTATTGGCCCTCACAAATATAAATGTCAAGAGTCGACACGCCAAGAAGATCTCGTTTAAACAGCAATTTTATTGCAATAGGTTCTTTGAATTTTCATAGAATCTTCATGGTTT